GTTAAATTTGTAGCTGTGTACAAATGTGTATGACTTGAAATGGAAGCCATTTCATAGACAAGAAAATCCTGATCACTATTAACAAACCAGTTCTGATAATTATAAATTGAACTGCAAACATTAAGCACTGGCCTGCTTGTATCAATTGCTGATGTCATCAGAACACCACTTTTAATTTAAGTATGCAAAAGCAGAAAAGCTGCATGAAGAACCGAAGAGAAGCTGAGTTATGCCTGTGGAGAGCTGTACCTGAGCTCCAGTGAGAGTGGCCATATCCAGAATGATGTCAGCCCCAAGGTCCTTGCAGGCGTAAGCGACTCCATCCGCCAGGATCAGGCGCCCCTCTGCATCAGTGTTATTGATTTCCACAGTTCTGGGAGGAAGAGAGCCCACGTCAGGACTCAATAACACACTGCAACACACACCTGGCTGGTGCTGCTCCCCAGCTCCAAGCATGCAGAGCACACAAGGAAAAGGGAAATGACAGTGCTGCCCTCGTGGCAGGCTCTACTTGTTGGGCCTGTGTGAGGCTGGGATTCTACAAATCACTGCCAAAGCAGTAACATCTGTTCTTAAAACAGATTCTGATCCATTGCTGGGCTGTCTTTGCTGCCACAGTGCAGCTGCAGAAGGACAAAGAAACCTGTCCTAAATTCTGAGTGCTTTAAGGGAAGTGCAGCTCATGATATCCATGTGTTTTGATGTATCTCTACATTCCCCACAGGAAAATCTAAGCACACTTAAAACTCGCTGCTATGGATGTCTGAAATGCAATTATCAATATTTAGGGAAGCTGATTTATAGACAGCTTCACAACCTGCATAACTCTCAGATTAACAGAAAAATGATTGATTTTTGTTCTGTTTATGGGAAAGGGATAGACACAATCTTACTTTCCAGAGTAAAGAACATGAATGTCATCAGGTCTCGTTGCACGTGGTCCCACTGCATTCTCAGCCAGACAAAAAACAGCATGAAGATTGTCCTTAAACCCCTGTAACAACCAGAGGGGAGAAAAGGCTTTGATTCACATCAAGCTGATTTATTGGGACTGAAATCAGTGAGGGGTTAAAACTCCTTGACAGCAATGCTACAATTTTCAAAGGAATTCTGGTGGGGTTTTTGGTGGGTGGGTGTTAGTTGGGTTTTTTAAAATGTGCCATTCTTGCTGGGAGGCACAGAGCATTTTTAACCTGTTTTGTTTTTGTTTTTTTTTTTTTTTTCCCTCAGCCTCCTCTCCTCTAGTTTATCTCATAATGTTTTAATTTTGGTTTAAAGTCAAGAGCTTATGTGGTTATGGGTGGTATTTTAAAATGGATGGTGATTCTGTTATTTATACAGCAGTTGTATTGTATGGAGGGATTCTAGGAACAGAAAGGGAGTCAGCAGCAGTTAACAAATGAAAACATTGTTCCTCCTTAACAACATCAAATTCTGGGGGAAAACCTGGCTCTTAATCTCTTGATAAAAGTCTGTGGCTGAAGAAATCTGGGCTTGCTGAATCAGCTCAGATTCTGGAGTCTAAAGGGCAAAGGCATCAATCAAAACCTTTCAAAATAACAGGCAGCATTTACAAGCCACAAAGCAATCCCAGTTTCTAGCCCAGCTGGTGGGCAAACAGCACTGCTGGAGATGGACCTTCCCTCCATGACCCAGCTATTCCCAGCCTCACTGCGCTGCATTTTCCTCCTCCAAGAGAGACATGTTGTTAATCTACTGTCAAAAAGTGAAAATCTATTTCCAGTATCAGCTGCCTTTTCCTGAAGCTCATTCTGCCTGCAGCTCCTCAAAAGCAGGATTCACTATGCTAACATGCAGGATCATGATAACAATAAAGAAATCAAAAATTTAAGTCAATCTTTTTCTCTTCTCCCTTGTGTTGGGAAGCTCACAATGGAGGAAATGCATCTTTCTAGGAAAAATCACTTGGTTAATTTTGCCATCCAAAGCCTTTTAAAATCAGGTTGTGTAACTGCTGAACAGCATGCAGGCAGATATTTTATGAAGATGGAAAATAACCTCTGCCCCTCTTCCCACTGAGCTTTCTATCCAACACACATTTCCCACTTCAGTCTCTGGGACAAAGCACAGCTCAGTGAAACCTCTTCCCCCTTTCTTTGATTCTTAAAAGCATTTAAAAAAAAAGACTTGAAACAGTAACAACAAATTCTTCCCACTGCCTCTCTGAACATATTTTCTGCAGGGATGCCATTTACAGGTCTTCTCACACGAGACTGTAAAATGAGGCAGTGAGTTCATTCCTTTGTTTCTCCATATAAAGATTTCTCCAGGCTCAGACTGTCCAAACACATCTCTGGCAGTTTATTCCCTGCTGCAGTAATTGTGTATGAACTGACAGATCACTGGTGCTCACATCTCCTGTGACTGTGAATGGAGCTTCTCTCAGGGCAGGCAATCACACACAAAACTGCTCTGGAAATAAGGACTGAAAGGATGTCCCCCATCCATGGCTATCCCAAAGCTCCACATTCCAGCTCTTGTCCCTTGCAGACCTCTGACAGAACTTTCTGAAGGATTTGGTTGTGCAAGGTCGTTATTCTGCCTGAGATGCAGCTCACAAATCTGTTTTCAATTTTAATTCTCAGCAGATAACTGTGAAGTTTACAATCTTTCCACATCAAACATGCTGTTAGGGCCAAGACACAGAGCTAGACTATTGAGAAATGGGAATTTGGCACTGATCAGCCCCTGGACAAAGCATCCATCAGATCTATGCATTAATCTGCAGCAGTAAATATTTTTTGAACTTTGCATACTCCTTGGAGGCAATAGCTGCTCTGTCAGCAAGACTCAATCACTGGATTTGTGGAGAGGGCAGAGTTTTATTGGCAGCAGCCGCTTTTCCCCAGCTTGCATTGTTAAAGTGCAAAAGGAATATTTGTAATTCTTCATATTTCAATACCTGGCTTCTTCTCAGCTCCCCCACTACTTTCTGACCACAGAAGCAAACCAACAAGCAGCTCCTGATGACACCAGAGCTGCTATTTACCCACTAGGTTAATATTAGACCTGGCACAGGACCTGGAATATAGAAAGACTTCACATCCCAGAGTCACTCATCCCCTTCTTTGCTAAGGTGACAACAGCTGCCCCAAATCCCACAGCTTAAACAAAATCAGCACTGGATAACTCAAGTATAGACCTGATTCAAGGAACCAGAAACCACTCACTCCACAGAACAAACTCTGAAATTCAAGGAAGACCCTTAAAAAAAAAAAAGTCAGCACTCAAGGAATTTCTCACAATTCTCAAGATCCCAGTAAAGATGTGAAATATTTTCCTGAAATAGCAGAAAGAGCAGAGTGGCTCAAGCTCACTAAGAGCAGTGGCAGGTCAGAACTTCAGGATTAGACAGGCCTCTGTCTCTGGGAATCCATCCAAGCTCCTTGGCAGGGCTGGGATACATGATATCAATTAACACATTTTACTTACTTGCTTTACAGTGGCTTTGAAGGCACCCAAAATAGCAGCTGCTCCACCACAGTCTCTCTTCATTCCAGGCATAGTAGTCTGTTTAAACAGAACCACAGAATTTTTTTTGTCTTTAAAAGAGAATTTCACAGTAATGCCTGCTAGAACCAGTGTTTCTGATGCTTCTGAGACTCTGGTTTTGACAGTGCTCAGCTGTCATCAACACAAATAAGGAACATGTGCCTCTGCTTACTGGTGGTCTTGGAAGTGAAAAAAACTAAACCTGGGCTGCTAAACTGTTAAAAAAAACCATTGTTTACAAGTTCACACTTGTAAGGCCAGCTCCAATGGGTTTTCCTTCTATCTTTGAAACCAGAAATGAAACATCTTTGTTCCTACTTTCTGCCTTTCAGCAGGCAATATTTAAAGGGCAAAATATCATGCTGCTATTGAATTGTTCTGCAGTGGTCCCTGAATCCCATTTGGTCTTCTCCCCTGATAGTTTGTGTCCATATGGATGACAACAGAGCAAGCATTTAACTCGATAAAAAGGTACTTTTGTTTCCTACAGACATTATCTGAACTGCTTCCATCAGCAAACAGCAGTGTAAGCAAAGGCAGCAGCAGAACAGGGTTTCTGTACCTTCCCCTTGATGCTGAGTCCTCCAGTGTCATAGACAATGCCTTTGCCCACCCAGGCAATGGTCTGTGTGGCACCATCTGGGGTGTGGCTGAGAACTGCCAGGGCTGGAGGATGCAGAGCTGCCTTTCCAACTCCATAGATACCTGAAAACAGACAATTTAACCTGTGGGGAACAAAGACTGCAGGGAGCCCCTGTGGGTATTTTCTTGGAATACTACAGGCAATAAAACAGTTAAAAAATGTGCAAATGAAACATCACAATGGCAAAACATTCCAGTCATCTGCTAAGAAAAAAGTGTAAAACTCAACAAGTTGTACCTCCAAAGCCTCTCTCCTTCAGCTCCTCATCTCGGATAATGGTAGGGGTAATCCCAAGATCCTTGCCAACTTTTTTGATTTCCTTAATAATTCAGAAAAAAGGACATGGTCAGTCGATCATCAGGACACATTTATGCCTTTCCACATAAATGGGTACCCAGTTAAGGGTTTTTGTGATTTTGCATGCATACACATACAAACATTCACAATTTTGGGAGTGGTGCTGCTTTTCCAATGGTCCAACTCCACTGACACATCCTTGACTTACTATGGCATGAAATATAAATTTGACCTTTAGACTCTGCCAGTAAAAGAAATCTTCTGAGGTAAAGGACAACTGTTCACTCTACTGGATCATGATGTAATAGGACAGGAATAATTTCATTCTCAACAGCTTTCCAGATCTTTATGATAAAACTCATTTGGAAATCTGTCAGCTGTCGCATGATTTCAGTAACTCTGGTCACCAGCAGATTTAAGACAAGAATCCAGAGCTGTGACCAAATGAGGAACTCATTTTTTCAGCTTCCCAGTGCCCTACTCCAAGCTGTAAACTCTGCTTCCTTCCAACTCTGCACAGTTCTAGAAAATGTGAAAGGCCAAAAGAAAATCCCCTGGCTGGATTTTCTTCCCCCTGCTGACACACAGCTTGCACTGAGAGACAGCAGGGCTTGATTACAGCAGTGTGGAGCTCCAATTAGCAACTATCCCTCATCAGGGGCACGACCAACCTCCAGGAAGGCGTCAGTGTTCATCTCGCTGCACGGCGTGTCCACGATGCGCGCGGCCAGCCGGACGCCCTCGGTGGCACTGGCCAGGCACTGAAACAACACAGGGAGGTCACTGAGAGGGGCTGGGCCTTGGCACAGCTTTGCATTCATCCCCCTGCAGCCAGCACCACATCTGTGCCTCCTCTGAAGCATCAATGCTTAACTGCCACCACCACAGCCAAGCTGACCAGTATTTTTGTATGTGTCCAGCTTATTTTACTATGTGCTTTAATTTCTAAGCAACTGTATTCTTCTGCTGAGCAAACTGGTGTTGCAAAATTAGTATCTTTCTCCACTACCAAAGGGACATCAAGAAGGCAAAGTGAAATGGAGGAAAGAAAGATAAGAGGCAGCTAATTCAGGAAGTCACAATGAGCTTATGGGCTGCTGGGGTTGGAAACCTACAGAGATTGTGTAATCTGCAATATGGGAAAGAAACTGCAGAGTTTGTACAGGGCAGCAGAGTGGCTGAAGGAAATAAAGAATACTGTGTGAGACATTCTGTATGGCAGGCCCATAGGGAAAGTGGAATATTCCATGTTTGTGTAAAACATGCACTGTTCCCTGATTTCTGTGGCAAAATGGACTGACCCTCACTGGACTGAGCAAAAACTCATCTCAGCAAGAGTGGACAGAATCAAATTGGTCAAGGCTGCTTCCTTACAGAAGGATCCTCCTGGCAAAAGAAGGACCCTGAACACACCAGACACCAAGCTTCAACTTTTAACTCCCATGAACTAACAACTTGAAATCCTAAGACCTGGGGGAAGGAAACTTTGTGCAAGCTTCCCAGTAGCCACACTACACTGAGGACCACACACAGCACAAGGGTGAGTCAAGATGGGTTTCACAGGAGTCTGAGGTGTTGGACACTCACTCACTCATGCTGAGCTATCTGAAGTTTGGCTTGGCCAGACCAGCCTAAGGTCTCCATACATTTGGATCCCAGCACACTCCACAACCTTGGCTTGCTTTGGAAAGGTGCCCAATTCCCTGCAATTACTTCTGATTGCTTTACTGTCCCTGAAGGGGCAAGGACCTCGTCAGGAGCCAAGCTCTGTCTGGAGTGATTCCCTGTTAGGGCCAGGCAGGTAAAAGGAGGTGCTCCAACCCCAAGGCCAAGCCCCAGGGGAGCAGCATGACTTCCAGAAATAAGCTGTGCCTGTGTTTGTGTTTCCAGAGTGCTCCAGAGAACCTGGATAATGGCAGCCTTTAATCTTGCAAAGCTCTGACAATCCCTGCTAGTCCTCACCATAAAATGCCCTGCACAATGCACTAGGTGTAAAATACAACATGCCAAGGGAGAGGTTTAGATAAAAATGTCTTACCACATGCCTCTTCCATGCTCTGCATTAGCTGTCTGGTGCTGGCTGAATTTAAGGGGTGCAAACTCAGCTAAGAGGAAGCCAGTAATGTATTTGGCATTGACATCAAGGGGAAAAACGGGAGGTAGAAATAATTGCAGCTTTGTTTTTAAGTTAAAAATAACCCAAGTGGTTTGGAATCTACCTATCTGAAGGAACTATTTTTGACACCAGCTATGCTTTTTCTGATTTGGGGCATGGAAAAAATGGAGTGATCAAGAGTTGTGCTCTCAGCACGCCTGTCTTTGCCACCTTGCTGAAAACTGGGCTGGCACCATTTTCTGGGGCCAGATCAGTTCACAGAGTAAAGACCAAGCACAGAGGAAAAGACACTGAAAAAAACCAAACCCCTAAAGCTGTAATTCTGTGAGTTTCAAATGCAGCAACACCATACCCTTTGTCAAATCCACTGCCAAAACTTCTAAGGGATTTCTGTAACCTCACTGCCTGATCAGCTAAGGAAGTATCCATCTGTACCAAAGCACAGAACCTGGAGCACTGAACAGGGAGTTCCCTAACAGATTAACTGCAAACCTTGGAAGAGCTTTTAAGTTTATGGATCTCGAGGAGGAATGACCTGGCATGGCAACAGTTACCTGATGTGGAATTTCCTCTCTGTAACAGTCAAACAAGGGAAACAGTCTTTGATTTGCTGCCATTCAAAGATGATTTGGGCATATTTCACTGTCATGTACAGCTCATCTCCAAGCTGTTTTGTTTCTTAGGGTCTTGTTTTTGGCCACAGTTCTGCCAGAAAAACTCAGCCAAAGAGGTACATCAGACAGAAATAGCAGAGGCCATGTGTGATCCCTGTAAAGTGACTTTGAGTGACTTCACTGTGATATTCACCTGCACAGCCACACACAGCTTTTGCCTGGGTAGAAAAAAGTGAGAGCCCACACACCAAAAGCAGTGTAATATTAAAGGCTAAAACCAGAGTCTGCATCTGTGATACACGTGAGAGAGGAGACATTTTCTCTGTGCTGTTTGTTTGGTGATTTCCACCCTGAAATGTAAATTCTGAGTAACATCCTCAGCATCTGCTGCAATAATCTGTTCAGTATTTCCACTCATAGATGCTGTGAACTGATCAGCACCAAGGAACCCTGAGCTAAGATAATTACACAACACCTATTCCAGAGGCAGCTGAAGACAGAGGTGTTTGCACATGCAACAAACTGAAGGAAAAGGTGACAGAAAACCCCCAAAATCTTACTTTGAGTGTTGCCACCTCCATTGGTCCGTTGTTTTGGCCAACCAGGAAGAATTCCACGGTCACAGTTTTCTTCTCAGTGCGTCTGGAGGCGCTGGAGCGATGTGTGAACAGAGGGAAGGCCCTGGCCAGGGCACAGGCGGAGGCGAAGACCTCGGAGCGCTCACACACCATCTGCAACAGCAGCAAACACATCACCAAGGCTGCACTGACAGGATCTGGGCTCTCACTGGGGAAAAAGGAGCTGGGTGGGAAATAACATTGCCCAAGAGAAGTTCATTCTCTGTTCTGCATGGACAGAGGCAGTGTGAAAGCCACCCAGTGAACTGGTCCAGTTCATTTCCCATTTGGAATGAGTTACACTGCTGCAATTAGTTCATCCTTCTACAGGAGCTGGACTGCTGTAATTATACCAGTGCAATTAACACAAGTTAGCCTACAGAACAGGATCAAAAACGGCACAGGAATCACCAAAATGTGCTCAAAACAAAAGTGAAAGTGACAAATTATATGAGAATGTGAAGGCAGAAATTGTATGAGAATGTGGCCAGCATTAACCCAAAGGTTCATTAACAGGTAGATTATTTTTCAGAAGTTCATGATAGAAATTACCAATTGAAAGCAGCTTCAGTTAAACATTTTCAAAGGGTAAAAGTTATGTAGAGTTATTACTCTTGCAAATAAGTTTTCCAAGTGAAGAGTACTACTAAATTTTGTCACTGACACTGACTGTATGAGTCTTCTCCAACAACTCACAAATCTGATATTAATTGTAGAACCCACAGAAACAAATAAATTCATCGGGCTTGTACAGAAGGTGACCAAAGAAGCCCAAGAGCTAGAGGGGGCAAAGGCCTCACAGTGGAGCATTATTTGCATCAAGACTTTTGAAACTCACTGAACAGCACAGGCAAGGCACCGCTCATGGGTTCTGTGATACAGACATAACACCCTCCACTCCTGAAGCATGTGCTGACATCCCAAATCCTAGTTTGAAAAAAGCCACTAATAGTTCATTTTGCATGGGCATTCCTGGCTGAAGACATTCCATACGAATCCAGCCTTAATTTCCTCCTCCTAATGTGCTTGAGCATGCACAAACCATCACAGCCAGGTCTTGCCTACATGCCAGTGCAAAACCACTCATGTCAGTGCAATTATATCAGTCAAACTTGTCCACCTCCAGTCTCCTTGGAGACAGCTACAACCCGGAAAAGTCGAGAAACCGCTCGCCAGACGCTTCAGCAGCAGCATTTCAAGAGGCACTTACAACAATGCATCTGTGGACGCCCCCGGGCAGGCAGTTCCTGACCAGGCGGGTGACGAACTGCGCGGCGGAGGGGCTGTTGTGCCGGCTGACCCGGGACGGCAGCGCGGCCACCGTGGCATAGTTCAGGTACAGCGGGCAGCTGTCCGTGGGGTTGGGGTTCAGCGTGCTCAGAGCAGACTGCCAGATCTGGGGAGAAAAGAAGCGTTCAGAGACAAAGAACTGAGCCAGACTTTCCTTCCCACCTCACTCCTGCTGGATTTAGGCACTTCTTAATGACAGGGGTTTAGGTGTTGGAAACAAAGAAATTGTGCACAACAAGCTCTGGAGTGAAGAGAAACAGGAAATTTGACAAACCTGTTCATTAACCAGGAAATATAAACGTACTTTCCATTACAAGCATCTATTTTAAGCCGTATGAATTACAATCTAAAACCACACTGTTTAGTGCACAGGCTGGTTCAGAGCTTTCTTAACTTGAGACAGTTTTCCTAGTGATAAATACGAGAATGATTTACTAGCTCCGAATTATTATTTCACATAGCAATTTAATTAAAAACAAATAAAACCAAGAAGGGTAAATATTGTCTTAAGACACTGGGGAGCCCTGTATAAAAACCCCTGCCAAACATCTAGCGACCTAAAAGCCGCAATGCAAAACGTTTATCATTCTACCACAAGCCATCACCGCCACTAAACAAACAGGTCCGCACTCCCACCGCAGTGGCGGCGGGCGGGGAGGGGGCTCCCAGCGCTCACTGCAGCCGCCCCCTGATCCCTCAGAGAGGGCACAGCGCCTTTCCCCGCCGGGGTGGGCACAAGGGCTGCGGGAGCGGCTGCCCGGGCGGCCCCGCCGCAGCAACAGGCTCGGCCCGGCCCGGCCCGGCCCGGGGGGTGCCCGGGCACGGCAGCGCTCGGGGCCGGGCTCGGGGCCGGGGCCGCGCAGCCCCCGCGAGGCCGCTGGGCCGGGCGGACACGCGGCGCGGGAGCCCCGCGGGCGCTGCCGGGCTCTGAGGGGGCGCGGACCCGCGGCGCGGCCTCACCTCCTCGGTGACCCGCGGCTGCAGCTTCCCCCGCAGCTGCGCCCAGGGCAGGCGGTGCAGGTTGTGCAGCTGCCCCAGCACGAGCAGCGGGCGGCTCTGCGGGTCCGCCTCGCCCGCGCTGGCCTGGAACTCCAGCTGCACGTTCGCCATCTTCCTGCCCGGCCCGGCCGCGCCGCCCCGCCCCGGGCCCGGCCCCGGCTCCGCGGGGCGGGGACGCGGCGGTGTCGCGGCAGCGCCGGGCACGGCCCGGGCAGGCTCCGGGCACAGCGCTGAGCCAACAGGGCTTTCCGAGTGCCTTTCCACAGTGCACGTACATGGTGGGTTGGAGTAGAATAAAATGTTTATTCTGATTTTTAGTAGTTGCCAAGCGCCTCCTATTAATGTTTGCTTAGCGGACAATTATCAGAATATGCTGATTGGGAAGGACAGAGATCATCGAGTCCAGCTCCTGCCCTGCACGGACACCCCGACAGTCCCAGCCTGTCCCTGGGAGCGAGGTCCGAACGCTCCTGCGGCTCAGACAGGTTTGGGGCTCTGACTGTTCCATGGGGAAGCTGATGCTCATTGATCTGCAGCCAGGAAAGCCGGGAAGGTCTGTGCAATCTTCCACCTACGCGGGAAAAACGAATTCTGATGCATATAATGGAAATATACTTAAAAGAAAAACAACAACAACAAAAAAAAACCCAAACCCAGGCTGAATTCCAGAAGAAAAAATTCCCTAGAGTAAGGTCTTTGAAGGGACATTGCAGAAACTTTATTGAAAATAAAAGTTGTAAGAACATCTGTTGCAGAGGTCGGTGGTGCATCCTCACAGATGGGAGAGAACTCAATACACAGACTCCAGCTTTAACGAGTCTCTTCCCCGAGCCACAGAAAATACATTGCTCAGGGTCCACTGCTGTGCCAACACATAGGATCAGCGTGGGAGTGAGAGGACACACAGCAATTACTTCAGATTGAGACATTCCAAAGATTCCTCCAGGCAGTAAGCTCCCAAGCATTGAGCTCAAACTCTGCTGTTCTGCTGCTCTGAGAGTCCAAAACCGGCACATTCCCTGAATCCACAGCATCCGAAAAGCAACTAAAACATGGGAAACACTCACCTAACCCACGATCCTTTGTGGCAGTTAAGGGCAGCAGAGGAGGGTCCCCGTGAAGGAAATGGACTTCCATAAAATAGAAATCAATTTTATCTACAGAAATTCCCTGTGAATGTCTCACCAGCAGCAGCTGCAAACATTTTTATTTGTCTGAGCTTCAGCAGAAGCTGCAGCAAGGACCTGTCTTCCAGTTATTGATCCTCTACAAGTATTCATGGAATCAAGCCAGTAAAATATAACTTACATGACCCATCATAATTAATATGCAAAATTATAATGAATTCCCTGTTTTAATGAGTTTTGTTTAAGGTGGCTGTTTGGTTTGGGTTTTTTAAATAGTAAGCATATTTTTTTCCAACAAAATCAGTTTCATTGTAACCTATCTAAGAACTTTAGTTTTGCAAGGCTGTACCAAAAGCAGTTTCCAAACACCTAAGCAAGAGTTAAGACTCCTTTGTGTTGTGGTTCATAAAAGCAAACCTTAAATCAATGCAATCTAGGCAGTGAACACAGCATTAAGGATAGATATCCAATTTTTAGCACATTCAAAAAATCAGCAAGAGAAAAACCAATTCTTCCACATTACTTTTCAGTTTCTAGAGAAAACCTGCAGTAAAAATAAATTCGCTATTACAGTGCTTTTAATACTGTCCTTTTGGCATGTAATTAATTTCTGTTCACAGGTTGCAGCTCATTTTTTGCATGCTCACATGCATTTTAATGGAGAAACTGTGTACTAGCAACAGCTTACAGGCCATTCCCACCAGGTGAGGACACAAATCCTTGGGAGTTGCTTTAGCAATGCTGCTCTGTTCTTTTGTAGGGAATCTGAGCTTCCATCCGGGCTGAGAAGAATCCAGCAGCCACGAAGCAGCCCCAGGCTCAGAGAGGGTCCCAGCTCTGGCTGCAGCAGCACCCAGAGATTGCCAGGGCTGGGCAGAAGCGAGGGCAGGAGCTCAGGCAGCTCCTGAACACCTGAGGAGCAGCAGCTGCTGTGGCTTTTCTGGGCTTTCACTGCCCCAAGGCACAGACAGATCCCTTTTGTGGGGAGACTCCCACAGGGCACAGCATCAGGCTGGGCTGACCTGCTGACAGCTATTCACACTGACTCAGGACAAGGCACACACCAGCAATTATTTAGAATCCAGCCTGTCCTGAGTTTTCCTCCTCAACAGAATCAAGCTTCAATAAATTCCAGCTCAAGTTACTTAGAACACTTGACATCTAAATTTAACCTCATCAAAAATGCATTTCCTCGTACAGAATTTGGGTAGAAAATAGGTAGACAGTCGGCATAACTCATGGGAAATAACTCTTGACAATGCAAATGACATTGTGCTACAGAAAGTTACTTTTTTTAAAACAAAAAGTGATTTCACATCACTGCCACTTTCATTTATTATGAAGAACAGAAACATGTTAACATCACAAAAGTATGTTTCAGTTTATAATTTAAATAAAAAAAAGAATAATTGCCCAATTAGGGTGGAAGTGTTTTATTACTTCTTTGAAACCATCTGCCATGATAAAATGTCAAAAGCACCGGTCAAGACAGAAATAAATAACACGATCTCATGTTAGAGAGAAAGTTGCAAATACAGTATATTAAATTATAGCCATTTGCTGCCTCACACCAAGTGATGCAGCCAGCACGAGGGACAGTAGTTTTACTCACGATCATTGAAAGATCTATCACCAGAACAGGGGAGCTGCACACCCAACACAAGCCTCATTCTTCCTTTCACCCATTTACTTCATGAAATCCATGAAGAGTTTGAACTGGCAGTTTTGGTGGTTCAACATCCCCTTTCTCTAGAGGTAACAAGAGTGGTACAAAGCTTTTCATCAGCCCCACAAAAAGCCAAGGCTTTTATGTTTTTGCAGTCTTTGCTTTCAGGTCCATCCCTGAAAATGGTCAGTTTAAAGCCGTGTCTCAAGTCCTCTTTAGCACAGAGTGAAGAAACTCAGGGCAGGCAAGAGTTGCAACTTCAGTATCACATAGTGTTGTGAAGCTGCACTGCTGGGGCTTGAGCAGAGCAGCTCTGCAGGTCTGTGGGGAGCACTTGTATCAGCCAGAAAATGAAGGAAGTTACAGTCCCTTTGGGGAAATAAAAAAACAACCAAACATATAAAAAAATAAAAAAAAAATATTAAGACAAGGCCTCTACAATTGCACATCACTTCAGGCCTGAATTAAATTAAGAGTATTCTATTACTTATATGGTGCCTTAATTTCTGTTGTATGGCCTGCAGCAAAGTTCTCCACTGAAAAAAGCAGAGAAAACCCCAAATTCTCCACTGAAGGCCTTGTAACATGTCACTTGCATGACACCTCTCATGGCCAGTAAAAGACCACAAACATGTCCTCTCCCAGGAAGACATTTGAAAGAGAATTTTCTGTCAGGGAAAATGGATGTAATATCTACTGTAGTGAAGTCACTCCTTATACAAAAAACATAACCCATATGGACAAATGCATTGTAAAATAAACAATTTATACAGCAGCTACAGTTTGAAACATCCAAGACCCACTGCAGCAGGCCAGAGAGATTCTCTTTTTGGGTTTCTACTCCATTTTTTCAGCTTAACTACCCTGCTTTAATGTAATGTTTGTACTTTAAGTAAAAAAAAAAAAGCATGAAAAAAAAAAAAAAAAGATCATCCCAATGAAGGAAAATCATTCCCATGATTACTCAAGCTCAGAAATTTTTTTAATTAACTAAACATGTTAAATTATGCCAGTGATTACATCTTGTTATTTACAAGATCAAGTACCACTGATTCTTAGTAATGGTGCAGTATCTAAATTAAGATCACAGGGGTTGGATTATGTTCTGATTGCTAAAAGCTTTCCTTTTTAGCTGCCTATCCAGTTCTTTGGAGTTTTTGAGTCTGGAAGAATGGGCATTCAATCAAACAATTTTGTGTCTCAACAAATTTTACATTAAGATCAAGTTTTGACATCCAGTCCCATTGAATCAGTAACATGGTTTAAATTTGAAGTCTGTAACAATTATGACATAAGAATATAGAAGACAACACATTTTTGTTCACAGTAAAACACTAATTACTGTAATCACTGGTAAACTTCAATTTTTAATTATTCTTAAGTACTGTGTTTCAAAATATCTCTGCATAGAGCACCGAATTTTTTTGTGTGGGAGCATCAAATTTCCTGACATTTTCCATGTAACCCTTACAAACACCTCACAGACCACCAAACTTGTACTTTGAAGAATTCTACAGAAACATTGCACAGACGTTGCACCACAAGGGCTCGTACATTCAAAGGCAGCTTTCTGGAGTGCAGGTCCATCCATTCACATTGGGAAAAAAGTTCACAGAAACTCCAAAAATGAGAAAATGAAGCGAAACCTAGTGTGACTTTACACCAATAAGAACAACAATAAGGACAATTACTATAACAAACAAAATTAAAATAACGAGCATCTTCCGATTCTTCTTTTGATATTGCTCTGCCTGTAAAACAGAGAGGAAAGAGTTAATAATTACATTTCTGCAAGGCTGAGGTACAGACTCCTGTTTAGTGTAAGTGTAATGTATATTGCAGGCAATTCCCACACAGTAACTCTGATCTGCACCAGAAGCTCCAGGGAAGGTAAATGCACACTGAAGTCACACCCACCCGTGTTAAAGACTCAGTTTGCTGAGATAAGATTCCTTCCTTCATGTTTGAAGGACATTAAAATTCACAGCAAAATTTGTTTTTTAACAGGCACATTTGTTGTACCTGGCCAGCTGTGCATTTTCATTTAATTTCAGCTAGAACTGAAAGCTTGATTTTTGAGTTGGTTCTTAAGTTTTGTGCTTCATTCCTTCTTTCTTCTAACCATATTTTCTCATCCCTCTTCTCCTTTTTGCAGGGGAATCAATAGGATACAATATAGAGGAAATTCTCCAAAAGCCAAATTAAAGTCTATTAATAGAAGCTAAATAAAACAGAGCTTGTATTTTGTTTTTAATTAATAAGCCTTCAAAATAAAACCAAAACAAAATGACCACAGAACTCTGATCTGCTGAGATCAAGGTTTTAAAAACCTTTCAGGTGTTCACAGCAAAACTTCA